GCGACCCTGAGAGGGAAAATTGGGATCGTGAGGGGACGGCGGCGACCCTGAGAGGGAAAATTGGGATCGTGAGGGGACGGCGACGACCCTGAGAGGGAAACTGAGACCCTGAGGGGGAAACTGGGATCGTGAGGGGACGGCAGCGACCCTGAGGGGAGAACTGAGATAATGACGGGATGGCAGCGACCCTGAGGGGAAAACTGAGATAATGAGGGGATGGCAGCGACCCTGAATGGAAAGCTGAGATCGTGAGGGGATGGCACCGACCCTGAGGGAAGAACTGGGATTCTGAGGGGAAAACAGCCCCCCTGAGGGCCGGGGCTGAAGGGAACAGCTGCCAGCCCGAGTCCCGCGGGGACGAGCAGGCCACGGCCCCTGGTTCCGCCCGCCTGGGCGCCGCGGCGGCCCCGACTCACGTTTGACGAGCTCCTCGGGCGCGAAGCCCGCGGCACAGCTGGTGAGCAGCGCCAGCGGCCGCGCTGCCGCCGCCATGGCGCCCGCGCCGCGCCCCTTCCGCCGCGCCGCTACCACCGCCAGCGGAGGGGAGGGGGGGCAGCCGGGGGAGGAGCCGGGAGGGACCGGGAGGAGCGCGGGCTCGGCCCCCTCTGGATTGTCTGTCCCCCCCCCTCCGCGGCGGGGCGGATGGTGCGGCCCGGCCGGCGCGTCCCGTTGCCGGGTGCGGCGGTGCCGCCATGGCCGGAGCGGGGCCGGAGCGGGCGGGTGGGTTCGGACAGCGCCGGTACCGGCACCTCCTTCCCCGAACCGGCCCTTCCTGCCCCGGCAGAGCAGGCGGGGCACCCCGGGTTATCCCTCAGCACCTCGGGTTATCCCTCAGTACCCCGGGTGATCTCTTGGCTGAGGCGCGGTGCTGCTGAGGGACCGGGGGGTGCGCGGGGGTTCGGCCCTGTCTGAGGGGCTGGTGCGTGTGGGAGCAGGGCCGGGGCTGTGAATATTGCGAGTTTTGCCACCTTGGAGATGTTTAATTAACGCAAATCCACGGTTTTGACATGGGCTGGTGTGTCCTCACAGGTTGCCTGGTGTTTGTGTCTCTTATGAAGGCTCTTGAGATCCCTGCCCTGTGAAACCACCTGTGCCGTGCGTGTGAGATTTGTGAGGAAACATCGTTCCTTAAACGGAGAATCTCAGTCCTGAAGTTTATTGTCACTGCTTTGTGAGGTTTGTTTTAAAATGGAGCTTTTCCAGCTTTTCTACCGTCAATGACTTCAAATCTTTGGCTTTATATTCTTATTTATAGTAGTACAGAAGTATGGGAAGTCTCATTGATTTTTTTCCCCTGTATTTAAGAATAATTTAATTCGAATTAAATCCTACCTAACCCCATGGAGTTTGGTTACAGGTCTGATTTTTGTCCTAACTTGCTTTTTAGATTCAAGAAGACCTTCAGAAGCTTAAAATGGAAAGAAACAACTTGAAAGGAAATGCAGAAGCCGTGGATATTTGTGACCTCAGAAAAGCAACTGGAAGGACTGAACTTGGGTTGCGAGTAAGTAAAATAGAGCAGATCCAGAAAATAATTCCGTTTTTAAAGTCTCTGTTAATAAGTCACTTGGGCCACTCATTTGTTATCTTACAAGATCCATTTCCAATCAGCAACTGATGAGAATTCACAGACATTACAGTTCAGAATGATAGTTCCCTCTTTTGGGGCATCAGAATTAATTGATCTTGTGCCTATCACCCAAAATTAGATTTTTTAATTCAAAAGAGGAACAAAGTTTATCAACTTTTCAGTCGAGCAAAGACCTGGATTGCTTAATAAACTGAGTAAAATAAAATTAGTATCTTTGTAATATAATTTTTTCCCCTCTAACAGAAACACGCTGAAAATTATTTAAATGTTACAAATGGCCAAGACTTAACTTTTTCTTCAGCTGGTAATAAAGAAGTGAATTCCAAAGAGGCCCCGAAGTGGTAAGTGAATGTTTTATTGCAGCAAGACACAAAAACTGAGGTGACATAATCATCTCACACAAAGCACATGGGAGTATTGACCTAGAAAAAGTTACTTCAGTCATTTCCTAGTTCGATTTTAAGTTAAAAAAAAAAAATACAAACGTAAATGCAATTCTAAGTGGCTCCAGCAGTGCTCTGCTAACTCCTGTGATTTTACTTTTGCTAAATGCAAGTTTAAATAAAAACACAGTCATTTGCATTGAACTGGATGGAAGCAGAGTGACTTTAACAGGTAAAAATCCAAGCAGATTTCAGAAACCTCACTGCCTGTTTCTCTCCCAAGCAGGAATTTTCCTTTTGGTGCCTGTGAGAAGCAGCTGGTTCTGCCACCACTCGAGCCTGTGACTGTGCAGAGGTGCAGCAGCTCAGCCCCACGGGTGTGCCAGGGCTCTCAGGTGTGAAATCACACCTTGATTCTTCTGCAGGGGCCACGTTCAAGGGAGTGTCTGGTGGCTTGTGCATCCCATAATGCTCTGACTGCCCATGGATTCAGGCTTGGAGAACAGCCCAGGACTGAAAGTGTTAAAAAATCCTCAGCAGAAGGGAGCAGCTGGGACAGGAACCTTCCCCCCAGCCCAGGATAATTTTTAAATTGAGAAAGATTCCAGCATCATCCATGCAGGTGTGGAATTGGCACTTCCCACTCATCCAAAGCCACTTTCCTCAGGTGCTTTTTTATCAAGAAATTAATTATTTTTATTAATAAATTAACAATTCTTGTTATCTTACGTGGCACTTTTCCCCCCCTGCATTGATCATTTCCCTGAGTGAGGAGTTTGCATTGGGAATCATCTCCTGTTTTAATTGAAAGGTGCTCAATTCCCCCCAGTTTTATTTATTTTTTTTAATAGCACCAGCAGTTTCCTCCCTGCATAACGGTGTGTTATAGTAATAAAATAAATACCACAAAAGCACTGATGAGGTGAAAATTGAACTTTCTGTCTCTGTGCAGCCATGTGGGTAAAGGAGTAATTGGCTTGGATAATAACTTGTGTTCTTACAACCCCAAATCTAAATGAGCATCTCATTGATACATCTCCTTGTAATTACCATCAAAAGAAGAGAGAATATACAGTGCAGATAAATAAATGACAGCATTTTAGTGCTTTCACAAAATAACACAGTTGTTCAATACTTCAAGTACACATCTAGTGATTTTTGAGCTTTTTATGGCACATTTTATTTGGAAAAACTGGAATTTTCCTGGATTTTTTTTTTTTTTTACATTTATACAATAGAATACTCACCAAAAGATTTTCAACGTCAGAAATTTATGCTGTAATAAAAACATAGAGCATCCCTCTGGGTTTTATAGGTATTTGTTATAACAAGAAGAAACTTGTGAAGTCTTTTTCTGTCCCTTGGGATTTAATCATGGTTATTTTTATTAGCAGAATAGTCAAACTCATTCTATGCAGATCACAGAGTGCATTAAGAACTATGTTTGAATTCTGATTACTATCAGGGTTTTTTAATTCCTCATTTACTAATAATCAAGTGCTGTGCCTGCATTGAGAATGGAATTAATTGAACAAAGTCTGAAAAAAATGTCAATTTGGATAAATACTCAAATCCTTACCAAGTTTTCCATCTGAACAAAGGCACTTGGTTGTTTGCCCAGTTCTGTGTGGAGTTAAATAATATTAATTTTTATCATCATTTTGCAAATTTACGACATCTTTACTACTTTCTGCCTCTAAACACTTCAGCCCCAGTGCAGTTATTTTAAGATTATCCCTGTTGTGTATTTCAGCAGCAGGTGGAAATGGATTTTAAAATTATGCTTGACTCAGAAAACATGGATAATAAAGCTGGTTTAAAACACCCCAGTGAGGAGACCAGGCTACCACTTATAACAAAGAAAAAATCTGCTCCTGTAAGTAACTTTTATTATTTTATGGGTTTATTATATGCATTGTTTTGCACTATTACAGTTAATATTTATCAGCCCTAAATAAAATATTTACATGGAAGTAATTTCCTCATGATTTCCTGCTTTTTGACATGAGTGTTTAAAGATCAAAACATTTTGAGTGGTAAAAGAAAAGAAAATCTGGGGAAAAAAAATCTGAAATGTAACAGGTTCATGTCCCAAGATTCCAATCCAGGAAAAATATGAATATACATGGGATGTGCATGGTCAGTAATGTCAGGAAAATCAGGCAGAGGAGATAAACTGGAGCTTGGGGACTTCTGGATGTGACCCAAAGATGCAGGAAGAATTAAAAGCTCATTCTTCTTTCTGCTCTGGGAATGTTCAAATTAAACAAGATGAAGTTTTGATTTTTTCCAAATTTCCCTCCTGCAAATTTCGGTTCTGCTGCCAATTCTGCAATTGTTCTGCAGCAGTTGAATGTAAAGATGATATTTTTAGCAAAGAATGCTTTCAGAAAAAAAAAAAAAAAAAGAAAAAAAGAAGAGTAGGCACAGCCATGGCTCCAAAAAATCAATTATGTTCACAAATTTAGCACAGCACTGTGGTCCAATGTTCTCACATGGGGATGCTCTTCTACAATTTAATTTATGTGACAGAAGCATCCTGCAGCAAGCCCAGTGCTTTAGGAGACATTCTGGGGTGTTTGGTTTTAAACAACACCAAGAGAAATCTGTGAATGGCACAGTTGTGAGCTGCCACTTATAAAAAATGATTTTTTTGGAAAAGCTGTTGCCCAGACTAAGAGGTGATTTGTCTAACCCTGTGATAATAGAGTTAATTAGAAAAAAGCATCATGGCTAATAGGTTTTTAGAACCACTCTAAAACACTCACAGAGAGGAATATTATCCGACTGCAGAGAGCCATGTGTTTTACCACTCTCCCTGAAACGTGCACTGAGCACAGAAAACTTAAATTACAAGCATTTAATGGGAATTACTCAGGCTTCCAGATCCATATTTACAGTTGCTGAGCAGCTTAAAAACCAAGCAGGTATTTCCTTTCTAATTTATTCTCTTCTAAGTTTCCCAATCTTAAGGCACAATGTGTGGTTTGGGGATGTTCTTCCTGTAAAATATTTGCAGTTAATATTTATAAAATCCACTGCTGAGCCGTGTTTGTTGTTCAAGGTGCTGTCTTCCAGCACTTAAAGGAGGGGAATTTTATATGATGACACAATATGATATTATCAGCGGTAAAGCCAATGAATCTGCGCGCGGTTTCAGGTGTGAAATGAGATTAATTTGGATCAAATTAAGATTAAATTTGACGCGGGGGCTCAGCGGCCGGGCGGCCGGCAGGGGGCGCTGTCCGTACGCTCTCACGTCCCTCAGGTGTCCGCGGGGTCAACGAGCGGCTCCCCCCCAAAAAAAAAAAAAAACCCTTAAAAATCAACCCCCACCCAATTAAATTAAAAACTAATTGCGCCATTCAGGCCTATTCCACGAGATTTCAACGAGGGCTGAGCGGGTTTGGAAACGCGGTGAGGTTAAAAAGTCGGCGTTGGAGGTGACCCCAGGGGTCAAGCACAAATCTACCCGGGCTTTTTATTGTCCTGCCATTCCAGGAGTTGGAAAAATTCTTCGTCAGGATTTCATTGTTTCGCCAAAAATGATGTCTTTTCTTGTTCTTTTGGTATTATGAAGTTGCTGATGCTGGATTTTATCATAGAAACTAAGAATAATTAACTGTTGCCCTTTTGGACCTTTTTGGGTTTAATAATAATGCTTCATCCTCTTCTAAGTTCTGTAGTTATTTGAAAATGAGGGCTGTTAATTCTGTTTGAAACACACACAGGGCATCACTTTCTTTTGCAGCCTATATCTGAATAAGAGATGAAAAACGATGAGTGGATAATTATTAAATATGTATACTTCCCATGGAGTATCCAGCCAAAGGAACAGTAATCTGAACTGCAGCAAAAATAATTCTGATGCACTGCTGCAATGGAGGAAAGATTCACAGCTCTGCCTTCTCTTTTCATAGGACTGCTGTTCTGTTATAGAATTATACTGGCACTTCTGGGTCCTTGTTTTCTTATAAATGTATATTATACTGTAAACTTAGGAACCTTTTCATTTATTCATGAGGTAGAATTTAATATGGTGATGATTTCTAGCCTTTATGAGTTGCATCTTATCTAGTGGGGCTCTAATGGTGATGGCAGCGATTCTGGGGCTTTTTTTAAGCTCACTTGTTTGAGCACAACCATTCTAATAATATCTTCAATTATTCTTTCTTTATTCAGCATTTGCATGCTGCTAATCATTCATGCTTATCCTTGAAAGTGTATTTATTTTCAAAATTATAAAGCAAAGCAGGGAAATTCTTTTAATTTCAAGTGACTGGAAGAAGTTGTAGAAGAAAACCAGGTCTTTTGGTTCCCCAAACCTGGCTGTGTTTTTTAAACCCAGGCATGTGGTTCTAATTACAGGCAAAGCAGGGTTTGGCAGGATGAGACTTCAACAAATTGATGTCACACTACAGTAAATCAAAAGAAACTCCTTGTGTTTATATTACTGTGTGTAATCATAATAAACAGCACGGTGATTGAATCAAATCTTCCTGTCAGTAAAAATAAAAAGGAAATAATTGGTGAGAGAGAGTGAAGTTAACAGATGAGTGCAGTCAGCATCCTCTCAAACCTGGAAATGGGAATGTGAAGGTCACCCCCATCTCTTCTGACAAAAGCAGAACGCTTTGTTGGTAAACAAATTAATCTTTTGAAAGGTCACCATTTGTTTGAAGTTTTTATCCAGTTCTTGTCATCTGCAATTGGAGATGGAGTGTCATTTTTTTTATTTTTTTTTTTTATTTATTTTTTTTTTTTTTTTTTTTGTTTTTTGCAAGGCAGGGGTGCAGCCAGAGCCGTTTTTGTGTGTGTGCATCTCAGCATTCCCTGACAAAAACTCGGTGCCTGATTGGGATGCCATGGGCTGCTGCTCTGCAGCTGCCTCTGGAACAGGAAGGGATGCTCATCCCTGAATTCCAAACAATTGATCCTACAAAATCGTGCCTGCTGAAAGCTGGCCCCGTGCCCACCACTAAAACATCTTGTGGTTCAAGGCAGCAATTATTTCCCTCAGTCCCTTCTGTGCTGCTGCTGCTGCTGCTGCCTCAAAGAGCAGATGTGGGATTCACCCAAGTTCTCCCTCTATTCCCTTTCACACCTGTTAGGGTGGATCTGGATTTCTATTGGATTTCTGTTAGACAGCAGTAGGTCAGGAAAGGGGTAAAACTTCTTTTTTTTTTTTTTTCTAAATATGGGGGAAATGGAGTGCTCAGAGCCATCTCTGGTTACTTGAAGGGCTTAGAGAAGGTAAGAATAACACAAGATCTGTTGTTAAAGATGCAATTCCATGTTTTTCCCATTAAACTTGCCTCTCCAGGCCTTTTCCTGAACATACTGAAAAATGACCTTAGTTCCATTGATTTTTATTTTGCTGTTGCTTCCTCTTTCCCTTTATGGGGGGAAATGCTGTGTCCATCAAATCCTGACAGGAACTTCTTAACAACAAATATGACAGCTTGGAGAAGATGGATGGAGTGATAAATTTATCTGTTATATCCCTTTTTTTTTCCCCATCACTATCAAACCCTCAGATTTCCTGATATTTATTTACCAAATCTCATCTTTCTATTCCTGGTTTGGTACACAATACTCATCTTTTTTTTTTTTTCTGTATTTAATTCCAGTCTCTGGTTTTTTTTACTGAAGGAAAAAATACTTACAAAGATATTTACCAAAAAACCAACCAACAACAACAACAACAAAAAAAAGATGTTCTAGTTAAATATTGCTAGGTAAAAAGAAAACAAATAGAGAACTAATCAGAAAAATCCCTGTGGTGTTCCAACAAGTGCCCTATTTAAAATGAAGCAAAAAGGAAAAAATAAAGTGGGAGAGGTTTATCCACAAGAGAAAAACGCTTTAGAAAGGGTAATAGAATTGTTTTTCTTGTGTCCCAGGTTAATTACACTCAGAAGCACTTGAAATGAAAAAATAGTTTTTTAGCACACTCCAAGCATATTTTAAGGCAAGTCAGCCTTGCTCTGCCCTGCAATTTAAGAGCTCCCTTCCAGCCCTGCAAAAACTGAATTTTCCAAGTTCTCATGATGAAGCTTTGATGTTAAAAGTAAACCTTTCTCTTGTACTACTCAATATTCTTTTTTGAGGTCTTATCATAATTGTGTTGGCTTCATTGTAATGACAATATCTCCCAAAATGGAAGCAGTTGGGCACTTTTGCTTTGCTACATCCCTGAATTCTTCAGGAGGGAGCCAGTGCAGAATGAGGTGCTGGAAGAGGCCTGGAAAGGTGCAGAAATTGGGTGGAATTTTTGTGGATCAGCTCTGGGTTTCCACTGTGTTGCCTGTGCTGCTGAATGATGGCACTGGGCAGTGTAAATGAGAGATTAATTTACATTTCTGTTGTATCAATCTTTGTTTTAACATCGTGGACTTGCTGGAAATTAAAGGGTACAGCAAAAAAAAGAATTAAATATCTATCTCCAATTAAAAAAAACCCCACAAAACCAAACAAGCCTCCAGGCTGCTTTTGAACTCACACACTCCACCTGAACTGCTTTTCCTTGTAGCTCATTACATCTCTATGAAAATAAATGTATTTTATGTGCTACTTATCATAACAAAACCTCATAACTGGGATTTTAAATTGGGCTAAAACTGACCAGGAGTAAAATCAGTGCTGCTTTACTGTTACACCAGCAATAATCTGGAAAAGGAATCACTGTTTAATTCAATTTCTTAGCTTTGAGATATTTTTGTTGTGGCCTCACCAAACTGCTGGGGCTGAGGGTGAGCAGGAAAATGTGGTTTATAAAGCTTTATAATTTCCTTTTCTCAGTATCAAGCCACTTAGATGGCAGCTGGCATGAAGTTAACCTTTGTTCCATGGTTATTGCTATTTTCTTGGAACACCCAGGACATGGAGATTCATCCACCTCCATCCCTTCAAACAGAAAATGCTCCATAATGGCCACAACTAAACTGAGGGCTGGGATTTCTCTGAAAGGTTCTCTGTTATGATAAAAAATACAGATCTTTTTTTTTTTCCTCTCTCATCTCTTGTGGGCAGTGTTGTTAGATAAATTGGGAGGAAAGGTTAAAATAGTTAATTTTGATCTCTTTTGCCTCTCGAGAGTCCCTTCTCCCTTTCTAGAAAGTTGCTGGGTGCTGTTATTCAATAATTAGGACACAACAGTGCTCCAAGATCCAGTCATGGCCTGGATTGTACTAAAAGCTTGATAATCACTCATTAAAAGCTAATAGTTTCAAGTATTTCTTTTTCCTTCTGGTTCCTTGCCTGTGTATGCATTTTATATTTTTAACACTGTTCTGTCAAGAAACACTGTATTTACATTACTCTCCTAACAACTGAGCAAACTTCCTGAGATTCCTTCATTAAATAGTACACAAGACATCAATTAAATTTAATTAACTTTATTTGAAATTACTGAAGGAACAACAGCAGACAATACTGGAGCATGTTCACAAGTAATAAAAGGAATGGTGCACTGTTAAATCTTAATGAAACAGTCAGAGCAGAAATGATATTGATTATTTATTGCTGCAGGAGCAGAGGAGTGTCTGTAAATCCCAATTTCCCTGTGCTAAAGGAGGTTCTGTCTGTCCCCAGATGTGCAGCCAGAGGTCAGGGAAAGGTGCCACAGTCACCAAGCCTTGGGCTTTGCCTGCCTTTCACTCCCTGGCACAAGACATCCCCAAAGGTGAGACCCTGTTTGCAGCAGCAGGAATTTGGGAATTGAGTTCCCTGCCACCTCCAGGAATTCCAGGAATTGTGATTTCAGTTTTGCAAAGGGTGCAGGGATGAATTTTAGGCTGGGTTTGGGGTCTAGAACATCATCCTGAGCCACTCCTTGGAGCTCCCAGGGTTCAGCTGCTGCAAGGAAGAACTTTGTGTGTGGTTCTTGTATAAATACCAGTCAAACCATCACGATTAACAGCTGGGTATTAATCTTTCAATCCTAACTAGGTTTGGACTGTTTTAGCAATCAGTTTGTAGTCATAATTATGTTATTATATTGTGCTTTGCTAGAGTTGGTTCTCATCTATTCTGCATATTAAGTTGCATTGTACAAGCATATCATTATAGACACACAAACATTTCAGAATTAGCACTGGTGCAATATCCTGCATGTGTTTGTCGATTTTTATAGGCACAGCTCACCTTCCTTCGAGGTGAAATATTGACCACTGAAAGATAGCAATCTTTCAATTAAAGGAAACTGCTGCTTTTGTAGTGCTGATGTAGAACTTGGGTCTGCCTTTGCTTCATTCTTCGTTTATTGCCAAGAATTCCTTCTCATTCCTGGCTGGAATTGTTCACGAGTGTCATCTTCTTGTAGGTGCCCCGAGCCTCAGTGGCCAAAGGCTCATCCTTGCAGCAGCAGAGAGGGCTCTGCCAGCCCCTCCTGCTGTGTCCAGAGCAGCAGCTTGTCCTGAATTCCCCAGGCAGCACAAGGAACCGGCTGTGGGTGAGTACAAAACATTGATTACAACCTTCACTGCATCTCCAGCTTCACTCTCAGCTTTTCTGTGCCAAGGAAATAGAGCTCTGTGGTGTGCACTCACCAAATTGTGCAGGGCATAAAGCATAAAGACAGGAAAATCCTGTCTTGCAGCTGGGTAGGAATGAGATTTCTTCATCCCTTGGTTCATTTCTGGGATCCTCCTGGGTTCTTAGCTCATTTCAAGTTTTAAGCACCTCAATCTGAAGCTCTGCCCAGTGTTAAGCCAGTGGTGCTCTAAGTCATGACCAGCACCAGCTCATCAGGCCTCCATTTGCCACGGGATTAAATAAATAACTGATAATAAATAAATGAAACCTGCAATCCATATTTTATTTGTTCAGGAGAGATCAGTAGCAGGCTGGACCATGAGAACACCAACACCATCACCTTCCCAAAGCCAAAGGAAACAATTTATGGCACACATTCCTCTGGGAAAGGGAACATTGCACCACTCCCATCCAGCAATTCCATGGTTTCAACAAGGAAATCAAAGCCAGAGTGGAGGAGTCCAGCTCAGCAGTTGGAATCTGAGGTGCTCATTCCCTCTCAGACACAGGTATTTGATGGAATGAATCAACCAGTGAGGATAATGAGGTTTTTATTTGTGCTTTTAATATTGTCTTCACCAGAGCTGCTTTAGGAAGTGACTGTAAATCACAGGAGGGTTTGAACCACATCTAGTAAATATTGAAATAAGGTAACAGATACTTTGTGTATT